AGAGAGAGAGAGAGAGAGATTGGTTGATAAATCCTTCTGTCTCCAGCAGGGAAGGACCACCTGGGTCAGCAGCAGGAGAGCAAATGGCCCAAGCTGCCTGCGGTGCACCTCTTCGGAAGTCAGGCAGTGTCCCGGTTCAAATCCTAGGTCTCGAATACAGATTAGCAAATGCCCGAGACCCACGTTGGGGGTACAGTGGCAGGCAGAGGACGCTCACTTTCCACACTGCTGGTGGCCAGGGTGTGCAAGGCCAAGCTCAACACCTCGCACATACACGACCGCTGTCATACGTGGGTCCGAGGCAGCTGCAGAGGCACCATGAGGCCGAACAGATGGAGCCGAGCAAGGAGGAAAGGCCCGGCCATCCATGCCCAACCAGCAGCACAAACCCTCCGGATGTCCATTCCTACAGGGGGTGTTCTGAACCACAAAACAGAACTGACAAAAACAATTGTTAGAAACCCTCACCTGCTTCACAACCAACCACGGGTCTGGCACATCCAGGCAGAGCCCACCATCCGTGGGTTTCACCCCAGGAGGCAGGCCTGCTGCACCCCAGCGAACGCCAACAGTGCATCTCCAGGCCTCTGAGCCCTCTGGCCCTGGCCTTTGAGGCAGGACATGGCCCAGCTGGCACACTGGTTACAACACTCGGTTGGGAATCAAAAGCGCAGCAGTTCAAGCCCCCCAGCCAGTCTGCTACTGTAAAGCTCAGCACACACAAAAGGGGTGTAGGAAGCACCATAGGGTCGCTATGAGCTAGGACAACTCAGTGGGCCTGGTTTACAAAGCGGCACGCCACAGCAAGCCATGCCCACCACGTCACCCTAGACAGGGTTTCCCAGACTGTCTGTCTCTCCTGGAGCAAACAGCCGCATCTTTCTAGCCAGGAAGGGCTGGTGGGTTTGAACCAGCGATACAGGCTGTGGACCCAGAAACTCACTGCTCCCAAGTCAATGCCAGCTCATGGCAACTCTACAGGACAGAGTGGAACGGGCCCTGTCGGTCTTCAAGGCTGTAGTTGTTTATGGGAGCAGCAGCAAGCCTCATCTTTCTCCCAAGAAGTGGCTGGTGGTTTCAAACTGCTAACTCTGAGATTGCAGCCCAATGTACCCACCGCCAGGGTGTCAGGGCCTGTAAATCCCTTGGCAAGTGGCCTTCAAGAATTGATTATTATACTCGCACAATAACAAGTGAAGTTTACAGGCACCTTTACATTTTTCTAAAACCTTACATACCATCCCTCCCTTTTGGTACCCAAACTCACTCACTCCTCTGTAAGCTCCACTTTTCTGGCCCCTTTAACATCAGAGACACAGGGCAGGCCCCTCAGAAAGCCACAGCATAGTGGCAGCTGACTCCTGAGCACTGACCAGGCCGGGTTGCTTCACCCAGCCACACACACGATTGGTACCACCTGGCTGCTAGCTGAAAGGTCATGTATTTGAATCCACCCCGCAGGGAGAAAGGCCTGCCACAGGCTTCCATAAAGATTACCACCCAGGAGATGCTATGAAACCAGTCTCCCACCACACAAAAGGCAACAGCCAGCCGCTTGGTAAGTTGGTCACTAAGCCTATTTCTGCCCAACCAAAAGTGATTTTCAGAGCCTTTTACAGATAAGGAAACTAAAGACGGTACAGAGTTGTAACTCCACGTGCAGTATACTAGCAGCCACGGCTACAAAGGACACTAGAAGTTGCCCTTTTGCGGGTTCCCACTCCGAGACACCCACACCCACACAGCGCTCCTGTAGCTTCTCGGTGGTCACACCTTTCTTCTGAGGCACCTGTTTCTGGCATGTTCGCCCTCGGTAGCACCTGACTCAGCCAGGAAGATGATGTGGGTGTCCTCAGGTCTTTGAAAGAGGTGCCCGCCCTGGTCATCATTCCTGGACGCGTCAGGCTAGGGCAGAAGAGAGAGGGCACGTGGTCACACCTGCCCGTGGTGTCCCTGCCTGACCCCTGGGACCAGTTCAATGTGATCTTCAGCCAGCTGCTAGGTCCCACAGAGAGCTAGGTCTGCTAGAACACCTCCTGATCCAGGCGCTGATCCACAGAATCAGCCTTAGAGCAACGATCCAGGGGGATGGGGAGTTCGGAAACTTTCACGTGATCAGTAAGAGCAATCACTTTCTTTTTTTTTTAATGAACTTATTAGGGGATCATACAACTCTTATCACAATCCATACATACATCAACTGTGTAAAGCACATTTGTACATTCATTGCCCTCATCATTCTCAAAACATTTGCTCTCCACGTAAGCCCCTGGCATCAGCTCCTCCTTTTTTTCCCTCCCTCCCTGCTCCCCTCTCCCTCATGAACCCTTGATAACTTATAAATTATTATTTTGACGTATCTTGCCCTGTCTGACATCTCCCTTCACCTACTTTTCTGTTGTCCGTCCCCCAGGGAAGAGGTCACATGTAGATCCTTGTAATTGGTTCCCCTTTTCCAACCCACTCTCCCTCTACCCTCCCAGTATCGCCACTCACACCACTGGTCCAGAAGGGATCATCTGCCCTGGATTCCCTGTGTTTCCAGTTTCTATCTGTACCAGTGTACATCCTCTGGTCAGCCAGACTTGCAAGGTAGAATTCGGATCATGATATTGGGGGTGGGGGGGTAGAGGGAGGAAGCATTTAGGAACTAGAGGAAAGTTGTATTTTTCATTGTTGCTACATCGCACCCTGAAGAGCAGCCACTTTCAACATCTCTCTTCCCGCCCCCCCTCCCCAAGGGAGGACACTGGAGGAAGACAAAGCTTTCTAATCCCAAGAAGAGTTACAGTCTTAGAAGCCCATGGGGGCAGTTGTCTCCCGTCCAGTAGGGCACCAAGGGACTCCATGGCATGGATTCCATGGCACAGTCTGGTGGGTTTGGGCCCCTGCCCCCACACGTCCCAGCCAAGCTGACTGCTCTAGGCTCTCAGGGAGACCAGAAACACCAACACACACACCCCCACCATACCTGTCCCACAGGCGTGTGTGTGAGAGAGAGAGACACAGAGAGAGCCAGCCTGCCTCAGATGCGAACCCAGAGGGGTCATAAGAACAAGCAGGCCATAGGAATGGACTCATCTTTTACTCAACTGCTGATGGCACAGGAACTGCACGTGTGGCAAGAGTCTAAAACAAGCTCTCCCCCCAGGGTCCTCATTGTTGCTCCTGCGGCTTTCTCCACTGCCCGCCCCCCACGCTGCCTCAACTATAGTTCTTCTCAGCCCAAGCACTTGGGGAACCCACCGCTCTGGACCACGGGCAGGGCAGGGCAGGGCGCCCCCTCCCCCTCGGGGTGAGGGCCAGGACCCGCGTTGCGGAGAGGAGCCCACGCTCTGGAGTCAGGTCAGGCCACACGTGGCCGCGCTGAGAGCAGAGCCCTTTCCTAAGCACTTTGGGGGTGGGTAGATTTCTTTCAGGGTGGGGGTGGGAGTAGCTCAACCACCTCCCCAGCTCGGACGGAAGCACCCAGGACTGAACTTTGTGGAACCAATGATTCTGGGTGTGCGTGGCCTGGCCACCGACACACGAGGGCAGCTTGCCAGCCCCAACCTCAAAAGTTGTCACCCGCTTTGCACCCCCATCTGATCAAGCCCGACCCCAGGACCCGCGCGTGGGCAGCCAGCAGCAACAGGTCCAGGCCGAGTCTGAGCCCCCCAGCCCGGTCCCCTGGCGCGGGGTAAGGAGGGGGCCGACCACTCTGACAGTTTCTGCGCCTTGCAACGTGAGCGCAGCGGGCCCCCCTCTCCACCCCCAGGAGCCCAGCCCGCGCCCCGCGTGGCCCTCTCCAGACCTCCTCTCCCAGGCGTCTCTGCGCCCCGGGACCAGAAGACAAAGGGGCGGCGGGAGGGGCAGGCGCATCCCCAAACTTGAGGGCCGCCGCCCTCCCCAAAACAAAGGCTCCCTCTCTGAGGTGCGCAAGGACCTGGACGTCGCCACTGCCTGCATTGCCTCGGGCCAGCGCCCCAAGAAGCCGCCCTGCGCTCAAGTTTGTGCCCCCGGCCTGGGAACCGACACTCACCTCCGCTGCCGCGCAACTCGTGGGCGCCGCCGCCCTGTCCAGGCGGCCGTCCCCGCGCGGCCGAGGAGGCCCGGCTCGAGCCGCCGGGCCGCGAGTCCAGGACCGCGGCGCAGCAAAGTTTGGGTGCGGAATGGCGG